TGAGCTGGTCCCACTGCCACAGCAATGTGAATACCAGCCCCTGAGGAATGTCACTCGCTTGGACATCAAGCCAGTGACTGCAATTCTTTGCAGCCAACCATCCTTACCCACTGCGTGGTTCATCCATCAAATCCATGTCTCTTCAATTAAGGATGTCATGAGGCAAAGTGTCTCTGGTTATGTTAGTAGCAATTTTTCACCTGTTCAATTCATGGCATTTTATGTTTCACTGTTAGGCCAAACACCTTGGAAATGAAAATGGGTCAGATGAGACAAAGTTTTGTTTTCCCCCCTACATTACATAAGGAAATACATGTAAAATACAGAAAATAGGAAAAATGCCTGTATATATATTTAATATTACATAAAAATACAAATAATTTGAAGAATCCTTTCTATGTCAAATTGGTGTGGAGAGAATTTTCCAGCAGCTTGTAAGAGGCAATGCTGTTAATGGTTCATTAGGCAGCATTTTCCTGCAGGGAAGCGTGCTGAGTGTGGATGTGGATGGTGAGTGTTCCAGTTTGTAATGCATGATCATATTTAAATATCATATGTATAATATAATGTGTATAAATATAACATGCAGTTGAAGAACACTACTGAAAAGTCTCCTTGAAGGACCACCAGCCCACCACCTCCCACTCTGTGCCTGACTGCTTTCATGTGAAAAGGGGTACCAAGCAATAAAAGCAGACTCACTGCTGAGCTGCACAGCTCCAACACCCTGGCACTCAACAGCAGTTGTTTAAAGACTGTGTTTCAGCACACTTAGCTGATGATAACATAAATAACAGATATTATTTTATTTCAAATTCAATACAAGGAAGTGTTTTAATACCATTCTCACAATAGCAATACATTGAAATGCAGAGGATGGCACTGAAATGCAGAGTGTTTCTGGTTGCTCAGAATATGATTAATGTCTTTTCCTTCATTGTGGTAGGTTGTGGTGGGTGTACTGTTGTGTGATCATAACTTCTGCCAAAAGCACAGTGAGGCAAAAATGTTGACACGTTCCCATTAGGCAGTGAGGGAGAAAGTGCCTCTCCTTCTGAATTTGGGACCTGTAATCTGCAGCTGTGACAGAGCTGAGGGGCTAGACAAATAAAATTATTATTTGGTTTTCTAGAGAAAATCTCTCTAGTAAAGATTAGAGAGAAACAGCAATGTTCAAGTAACCTTTTTTTCCAGAACCATACAGAAAATATATTACGTTTTTCTTGGAGTGGTAATTGTTTAACAACTAATAATTCCTCAAAGATTATTCCTGGCATTTTGATACTCCCTTTTTGTCAAGAACATGGAGTTCAAGAAATTAGGCCAAACATTTGCAATGGATCAGAGCAGTGGTTTTCTTGGTGGGGGAATGAAATCCTTAATCTTACACAGGACATTACCTTGGCTAATATTAAATGTTAGTATTGTTAAATGTTGTTAGAAATGTTAAAATGTTCTGATTAGATGTGAACAAAAGGTTCTGCAGGTTTGGTTCTTTTAGAAAATTATAATTTCATTACTCCACACAAGAGTGACCAGGAAGCATTTTCCCTGGAATAAAATATTCTAACCTTATGGTTGTTTAAAGTTTGGTGGTTTTTTTTTTAATAATAGGTTCACAAATTATGCACATTACACTGTGACTGTAATGGATAAAATATCAAATGTATTTTTAAGTGCCCATTTATCTGCTTAAGTTCCCACTGATGTTTGTGACAAAACTCTTGACTCAAGATATAACCACTTTTTTCAAAAAAATCTGTCACACTGTAGTGCAGGATATCTTAATTAAAATAACAATCAAAATAAGCAAACACAAATATATGTCTCAGATTAATTTTTATTTTCTCATTTATAATTGACGATGTCTTGATCTGAGTTTCTAACCAGCTACTGTGAATTAGAAAAAGTTTTCTGCATCTTAAAAAATTAGCTATTCTTAGGCTTTCTGGGCAGAAAGAACTTTAATATTTTAATGTTTTTAACTGCAGCTGATTTGTTCGTTCTTCATTAAATATTTACAGTTTCACTTTCATGGCCTCTTCAGGCCAGGTGTAGGAGTCAGCCACAAAGCTGTTGTAATCAGTACTGTACACCTGAGAGCGGATGAAGGCTTCGAGGTCCTTGGGCTGAGGATAGGTGGAGGCAGTGTTATTCCTGTAGGCTTCTTCTGCAATCTGGAAAGATGCATTAAAATCCTAATTAGTGCTGATAAACTATCCGAGTACACTTAACAGGATGTAAAAGTAGGGCTTAGTTCAAAATCAAGATGAGACTTCACCCTCTGGTGCTGGCAGCCACCTGTGTTCACACTGGCTCCAGGTAAGTACCCCATGAATAAGACTACAGCAGGATGATGTTTGTGTTTAAGTGTGTCTGACTTGGGCTACTTTTGAACAGGATTATATGTTCAGACTGTCACAAATACAGTGCTCCTCTCTGCACAGTAGTGTTTTAGCTTTTACTGTCCAGTGGTGGATAAAATATTCCACAAGCTCCAAACAATGAGATACAATTTCTGCTTTTCTCTCATCACTTTATCCTGGTTTACCATCTTCCCAAAGCACTGTATGAAAATTTGTTCAAAGTTTCCATGCACTTTGCATATTACGGAAGTTTAGTATTTGACATAGCTTGATAATATACTTCCAAAAAAAGTAAACTCATGGGAAAAAGTAGTCCTATGCAGTGCACAGCATGGCTGGGAGAAATACAAATATTTGCTGCTCTTTCCTCACCCAGATCATACCTAAGTGAATCAATTATGCATCACAAATACAGCTGTACAAAAATTAGTTTAGTAGGGGTTGGAGCTGTCTTAACACATCAAAGTAGCCTCTCACATCTGAAGATCACCTACTTGAAAAAAATCTTCAGACTGGACATTAATTTGTGAAACGAACTCTGGCAGACAGGTTTTATGCAGCAGCACTGTGAAAAGATCTGCTTGAAACTCTTTTGGCAAACACTCTAATGCTCCTCCTTTGAATAAAAAGGAGATGTTCTTCTTCCTGCTTTTCTTAGCTCTCTTTAAAACATGAATGTTCTAATTTGGTGAGAAGCTGAGACCCCAAGTCACCTTATTAAGACTTTTTTTCTAGAGTTAATCTGAATCCCAACTCCATTTGATTGAGAAGCACTTTGGGTGTTTATGTAAGGGTATCTTCAGGTCTGTGGACATAATTATCATTGTTGGATAAGGTCTGAATTCATACCCGATGTTTGGTATTCCAAAATATTTTGATAGTGTTCCTCTCCTGGAAAAGGCAGAGGCCTCTTGGGTTGGGTTGTATGAGCCAGAATAAGTATTTTCAGGAATAAAGTTTCAACGGAGAACAGGCAGAAAGAATTACTTGGTAACATTTTCCTTCTTTAGTATTTTCTATAACACGCACAAATAGAGGATGAATTTCTATCACTGAGTTTCTGCCAAATGCAGAGCCAGTTTCATTTTGCCTGAGGAATTTAAGTAACATTTTCACAGAATAGAATTTGCCTAAGAAGACATGAACTTTGAGAAGGATTTTTCTTTTCTTAAACATATAGAATGAATGCAGCTATGGAAACTGTCTCAGTATAAGGGTTCGTTGTTACTCTTTCAAAAGCATATGAAGTGGAATTACTCACAGTAAGGTGACAAAGAGAGAAAACAAAAATTGTAGGAAAAAAGGTCACACAGGACAAGCAAAAAGTTGAAACTGATAACCATGAAGGTCCAAAAGCCCTTCAGCTGTGCAGCTGAAGGCATGACTGTGGTGGACAGCAGAGTCTGTGCTCTACAGACATACACACGTGCTGTAGATCCACAGCTCTCCTTGTATTTGGATTGCCTTTACATTTCTCAATTTAAAATTTAATTTTGAAACTGCTGCATGTCCAATATCAATTCATGTAAACCAACTTGTGTCAAGGTGTGTTAGGTGATTAAATCAAACCATGTACAGCTGGTGGGAAGACAAAAAGCCACAAAAGGCTGAAATGACTTACCCTCACAGCAATTTTCAGTGACACGTCCTGAATAGTGACTAATGGAGGGTAGAGGCGACCTTCCTGTAAATTTTCTTCTGTAACTTGCTGCGCTATAACCTGAAATAACACAAACGTGTAAGTTGACATGCAGATGCAGCTGTAGCTTGATTAGACAGTGATATTGTCTTTAGCAAAGAAATTTTTCTGCTTTGGCAACTTCCACAGATACGGCTTAATCCACCTAGACAGCATGTTTTAGAACCACATTTGTCATTAGGAGAAGCTACACAAGAATTGGAAATGTAGGGAGTTATGCCTTTTTCTCACTCAGACAATAAAAATTATTTGAGTAAGTCCATGACACACATAAACTAGCAAACAGTTCACTGTGAGATTTAAATTCCAGCCAGCAATTGCAGGTGGGTCAAAGACTTCTAATATATAAAGAAGCACCTGTAATTCTGACAGTTGTCACATTAACCTGTGCAGGGAACAGAACTGAAACCCTTAAGTGTAAATGCTCTGAATGAAATTACTGGCAGCTGGTATTTCTGCTGTCATTAGCTACAATTTGTTTGTCTTTTAGGAACCTGAAATAGCCTTTCAGGGTGATCCAGATGCGGATAGAAGGAAAACTTTGCTATGGGTAACATCTGGTGGAGCCATGTATGACACACTAAGAGGTTTTGAAAACACCAGGAAAGTCCAGGAAACACTGAGACTTGCAACTGATAACTGATAACTGATAAAGCCCAAAGAGAAAGCAAGAAGTGCACTTTTGAGGGAATATTCTAGGAAAGTACTTGAAAACAAAGCACAAACAAAACTTTCTGCAGTTCC